TAAAACTCATTCAAGTACACTTTAAGCACTTACACTTACACTTTCGGATTATTTTAATAAAATGTTCAAAGTGTACTTGAATGAGTTTTATTTTAGGATATTAGCAATAGTAGCTTATTTTGTAAAATAATTGTAGGGCAAGTATTATTTGCTAATTATGTACTATTTGATAACTATAGTTTTGCCTTTAAGATATGCAATTAATAGCAGATTTTTGAATGAAATGTTATCTGACAGTTTGCGCTTTATGTATTATGTAAAGACAAAAAGTGTTATTATAAAAAAATATATTATTGTACAATGTTATTGCGCAATGTGTTTGCAGAAATATCAATAAAAATAATCTTATATTCACATATGTAATCCTTGTATCAATATTAATAAAAGGGGCGATAAGTCAGCTTTTGTTTTTAGAAGTTTGCGTTGTGTCGTACCTGAGCGCGCCAACTTTAGACGATCTGATTAGTTAACTTTAAACAGTTATAATTCAAAAACTATTATAATTCAAAAACATAAAAACTATTATATCAACATTTTGGTATTGAAATTTTTGTCTTAAAATAATCTCAGGAATCTACCCTTAAGCGTTGGTCCGGTTATTACGGGACACCCTGTATGTAATATATTTATTGATATTTTATTAAATTGTATAAGAAATGATTTGGTAAAGAGATGGATGCTTTTTAAATATTTAGTACAGAGTGTAATGTCATATGGAATGGAAATGTGGAGTTGGGAAGAAAAAGAAGAACTGGAAAAGATAATGTTAGACTACATGAAATGGGTTTTTAGGTTAGATTTTTGTACACCGAGATATGTGATTATGAGGGAGCTGGTATGGAGAAACTGAGACTAAGTTGGGGATTAAGAGTAGTAAGGTTTGAGGAAAGGGTAAGAAGAAGAAAAGGGATAAGGAGAGTTTACTAGAGTGGCATTCACTTGGACACAATTTAAATGGACACGTTGCAAATGGACACATCTCAAATAAACAGACCCTGTTAGACACGGTGCACATGCCCACCGTTCACTTGGACACCGCGCAAATGCCCACCGTTCACTTGGACACCGCGCAAACGTCCACTGTTCACTTGGACACCACGAAAATGCTTATTGTGCACTTGGACACCGCGAAAACGCTTACTGTGTATTTGGACACTGCGCAAATGCCCACCCTTCACTTGGACACCGTGCAAATGTCCACTGCTCACTTGGACATGAAGATATGTCTGCTTAGAGTAATCGTTTTAGAAAACGTATTATTTATTTAAGTATATAACAAAATAAAAAAATAAAGAAAATACCAAAAAGTTGAGACAGACTCCGCAAGGTAGAAAGTATATTAAATTAAATATCTATTAAATCTTCGTTTTACTAAATAGATGAGTCTACAATATATTAAAAATAATAGATACCGAAAAGATTAGACATACTTCTACGCAAGGTAGAAAGTATATTAAATTGAATATTTATTAAATATTTGCCTTACTAAACAAGTAGAAGCATTAAAGCACATATTTTCTGTTTCTACAATAGATATTAGCTAAATAATAGGCGAAAGGAGGGGCGGAGCGCGGTGTCCAAATGCACAGTGAGTGTTTTCGCGGTGTCCAAGTGAACAGTGGGCATTTGCACGATGTCTAATTGAACGGTGGGCATTTGCACCGTGTCTAACAGGCTGTGTCTATTTGAGATGTGTCCATTTGCAACGTATCCATTTAAACTGCGTCCAAGTGCACCGCTCTCGTTTACTAGGGAAGTGTTGCTGGGAAAAAGAAAGGCTAGTGGGGGAGGATAGCTATAGTAAAGATATAGTAAAGAGGGTGAAATATTATAATAGGTATGGATGGAGGTTAGTGGAAAAAGATAGGATAAGAGAGGAGGAAGGGAATTTAGAAGAAAGGATAAAAGCAAAAGAAGGGAAATGCAAAAAGAATGGGAGGAAAAGAAAATTGAGCAGGCAAAATATAATAAGAGGTACAAGGTCATAATGACAGGGAGAAAAGGTCCAAACTATTTATGGAAGATAAATCTTGGGAAGACTAAATTGGGTAAAGGGGTAAAAGCGTTGGCCAAATTAAGGTGTGGTAACTTTGAGGAAGGGAATAAATATTGGTTGAAAGAAGACGTCAGAAAAGGCATATTTTGTGGGAAAGATTGGGATAGATTAGAACACTACATAGAAAACTATGAGGTCATTAAGAATTGATTATTAGAGTTAGGTAAAGATAGAATGGAGATATATAGTAGGTTATTAGATGAGAATTTAGATAAGGTAAAAGCAGAAGTTCTAGATAGATTGTGGAAAGCAAGGAACAAAGAAATTAAAAAGAGGAAAGAAGAATTAGACGATAGAGAGTAGGA